ACTAAAAGGTTTTTATTCTGCACTCTTGTTTTTAAATGTACATTTTATGATGTTTATTGTTTTTATTTGTTTGTATTGTCATTTTTAATGCCTTTCCTATTCTGTAAAGCACTTTGTGAATGAATTGTGCTATATAAATAAATTTTCCTTGCCTTGCCAGTATGAACCATCAAAATTGGTGAACTGGTGAATCTAGAATGACTCATGTAAATGTGTCTTAATATATAACACTGTGATTAACAGGCCACTGCCCCAGTGTGCACAGGTCAAAGCCATAATGACAAATAGGCCACCAACTGACAAAATGACAAGTCAACACAGGAAGTCCTTATAACCATATCATCCAAGAGAATTTTTACAGTATTGACTGTTGTGGCTAAAAGCTGCTTTTAAAAGAAGGTCAGGAGCTTGAAATTCTCAGAAGACTGTAACTTTCACAGCTCAGTATGTGCATGATTCAAATGACTTCCTTTAACCTGTAACAGATTCAGAAAACAAGTCCATAAAACCATGCTTTTATCTGATCATTCTTCTGTGGGGTATTTGACTATGTTTCAGAGGGTGTCCACTAATCATTCAATCATGACTAAAAGCATCGTTTTAGAGGGATTTACCTCTTTGGTTTCCAACTGAGATCAGATAACCACCTGGATCACACAAGGCCGTTTTGTTTTACCCACTGAGATGCAAAGCTACAGTGGGATAATGTACCTCAGCATCTTCCGCTTTGAACTTTTGCTTCTTGGAATTATTTGCAAATTTATAAATAATTTTTGTTTTAGTGAATTATTTGAGGAAAAGGTTGAATTCCATTCTTTCCATTACCTGCTGCATATACATTCTACATACAGTCCTGCAACAGTGATATCTTTGGTTAATGTGTGCGTTTAACCACAGTGAAAAGCACAGATTGGATAACACAGCCCATTTCCTGTGTCAGAGGTGCACTCACAGGTAAATGGACCATCTATATTCTCTGCAGGTGACATGGGCCCTGTGGTGGGCTCTTATGGCTCCCTCCTTCAGTGTGGAGTCTCTTACACAAACATGACATTTTATCTGCCTGGTTACCACTGGCCTTTATGTGAGCCAACAGTGTATGGCGTTACTGTGCAGTGGAGAGGTTTAAGAACAGTCTGTTTACATGGTTTGTTCTGGGGGGATCAAATAGAAGACAAATGTTGTGTGTTTTCATCTTTGTCTCTTTAAGGGTCCATAGCAAAAGAAGCATACATTATATATTATTAACCTTAAGCCTGACATTGGCAAAGGGTACATAAAGTTTACTTTGTCTATTAGGCTACTTACTTATGTCATGTGGTAAAGACACATTGGGTGTAATGTATACAGTCAATGCTGTTTCCAAAAATCAATACATTTCTTAAGTTACTAAAAAAGGGAAGGATCTGGCTGCAGACTTCCACGGCAATGAGCCATCCCGCAGGCCTCAACTAGGAGGACCCTCTGACTTACCTCCTTCCACAGGTCTCTAAAAGTAAACAAAAGACTGTCATGTCAAAAAAAGGTCCACTCTGGCCACAGTTTTCAGCATTACAAAAGATAACATTGTTTTACACCGAAGACAAGGCCTAAGCATAACTATTACAGACTCATGCCTAATCTTAACCAAACACATTCACACACTCATGCTGCAACACAAAGGGAGTTCACTTCAAACTAGAAATGAAATCTAATGGTGATAAAAAATGTCTTTGAAGTCCTTTGCTCTAAACAATTTTAAATTAGATTTATCATCTTCAGTGACCTTTTATAGACCAGAAACTAAGGCAACAACTGTTAGAAAGTGTAGGCTAATTAAGCTATTTCTTATGTAAACTAATGTAAAATGTTGAGGGACTTGTCTGGAGATGCATCCTGGTGGAGGTGCGGGACGGGTCCTCTTGTTGGAGGTCTGAGGCCAGACGCATTTGAAAAATAAATAAATAAATAAAAAAAAAAAAAAAAAAAAAAAATCTAAATGTCAAACACTGCCATCTAGTGGAGACATGTTTAACCGTTAATTTATTTGATTAAAACAAACGTGTCATAAACTTATGTTGAAAAGTTCCCCTGAAACTGTATTCACTAATACAGTGACTGCTTTTTAGAACATACCCAGTTGGAAGTTTGTGGTGGTTTATTCTGATTATCATTTGGAGTTTATAAAACCTTAAATATTCCCACATACCGTCTAATAAACCGTGAGTCACAATAAAGCAGTTTTCTTTTTCATCTGAACAAGAGTTTTTGGGTTTAACGCCGAATCTCCAGGTCCTCATCACTGACACTTGTTCCTCGTGTCTGTGCTGGAGAGTCTGTTGACCCAGAAATCACTCAGATGTATTTGCCTCCTGTAGTGGTGAATAACAATGTTAAAACTAGAGTGCAAACTTAAAATTTACTTTCATTTACTAGTTTTGATGGTGAATGACATCGTCTTGCTGCATCAGAAAATAGGAGACAATGGCTGGCCCAGGCATCTGTGGTATACATGGATCACTATTGATATTTTACTAAAGCCATAATCGATTTTTTCTTAAAGAAACGATTTTTGATTCGATTTTTTTCTCCCCTCTCCACTAAAAATGCTCTGCAAACTACACAACATAGTAAAAATGTAAAAGATTGTATTCAGTGTCATACTTAAGCCACTGGGGAAATCTTGGGGAAAAACGCTTGACATGATTTGGCATCAGTGATTTGCATTGTCTTTCCAAGCGGAGAAAATAAAAATCGATTTTCTTCCAAACAAATCGATATGAACTTCAGATTCGATTAATTGATTTAAGCTTTACTGTCTAGCTTGCCAAACTCTTGTCGTCGGCATATTTACCACGATAACTGGTGAAAACATTACGTGACAAATGAGGTTTTAAACTAAAGGTTTAATGAACCATATTTTGTTTTGTTTTACCTGTTAGCTGCAATACTTATATTGTCCACGGGAGTGCAGCAGAGATCACGTACAGTGCGTTCACTTGGATAAATCCTTGGTATGCCCCGTGTTTGTGAACACAGATCAGAATACCAGCCACTTTACAAAGCATTTGCACTTCTGCGAACCACCGTGAGACCTCCGAGGGCATCTGTTTTCCAAAATAAATCTGGTCACAGTTGTTTAAATGTTGAGAGAGTTTCCATTGCACCAGGACATTGTTTGGATGTCAGTGATTTCGGGGAAGTAATAACAGGTGCTTTTGTGCAATACATCGTCGTCCTCATTTCAAACAATGTAGGCTTAATTACAGAGTTATTAATAGAGCATTTACAGACCTGCTCAAAGATGTGCGCTGAGAGAGTGGGGGGTCTTGTTTAGTTTACAATTTATGGGTAAACAAATATTTTTTATTTGTGGGAGATTTCATTAGTAAGTAGAAAGGGCAGCTGAGTGAGTTAAGGGTAACATTCCATTAATTTACACAAAGACAGATTGAGAAAAATCTTTTCTTCACAATACAAATTTCCATCACAAACTGATATTTTTAAATATATTTTGATCCTATTTCTTTCATATGATGTTGAATAGTTTATGAAAACACTACAACTCAAACAAGGTCACTGTAAATCAGGGAAGTATCTGACAATAAGGGTGTTAAAACAGGGGAATGTACGTCATGAGGAAGTCCACCTCTTCCCCTGAATACATTATAATGGTTAGGTAAGCTGCATGATGGCATATTAGGGGGTTTACACGTAGGGTGAAACATCTCTCTGACAGGTCCTGTTAGTACATACAGTGTGTAGGATTACTCCAAATGCAGCTCAATCAAAATCCAACACAACATGGCCTACTTTTAGGGACTCTTGGTTGGGCAATGAGTGACATGACAGGGTCTCAGGAGGACAGACAGACACCAGGCTCCCTTGCTGATATATTTTCTTCTCTGTATAATACTGCTTCAGTAATTACAGGCTTCCAAAATGAGTATGTTAAGTATTATGAAATAAATATTTTGTGTATAGACAACTGGCAAACTGATCTGGTGGCTTTATTTATTATTACTTAAAAGTGCACTGCATAACTGGTGGGGATGTTATTGCTTTGTGTAGGATCTTCCACAGAATGGCATTAATGTATCTTTTTATAAAACACACAATCTTACTGTGAGTGGGGTCACACTCCACAGATCTGATCTGTCACTTGCTCCGGTAATGTCCATCAGAAAAGCAACATATTGCACCTTTAATGCTCTAACAATAGATTGATATCTCTACCAAATTATATGATCTAGAAGGCTAAAATACATTGTTGAAATAGGAACTGTAAATGCCATATTGTACATTATGGATTTACTTATTGCACAATACTAAGCTTGTGTTTATAAAGGACAGATATTATCTTTGGTCTTCATTAAGTCTAGTAACATTAATCTTATAAAGCCATTTGAATCCTGCCCTAATTCATATACGCACACAGTGAAGCAGGTATGTACTTCACTTACACTGGGATTACGCAAGCCCCGTCCAGTCATGCCTGTGGTAGTCATAACATGGGGAGGGTGGAGACACGCCAAGCTCTTATAGGTCCAACTATGATTCACCAGCTAACGTGGCATGTGATAAAAAAACAAGAGGTATTTTTCTTTAAACTGCGTCCAGCTTTTGATTACTTGACCTATAGAGATGTTTCCAGGAAAGACCTTGCACCTCTTTTGACATTTGAGTGAGGGGGTAAATGGCACACTGCAGAAAGGTCATTGTTAAGTGCAAAGATGGTGAGAGGATTCCTTAGGGATTTGAAGCAATGTAAGAAATATCATGGAAAATTGAAAAACTTGAATGCCCCATGGATGATATTTCTCTTTAAAGGTACTGTACATTGTGTAACTTTTTTGGAGGAAAGCCTGCCACCTACCTGGCTTATGTCATGTTATTGCTTTGCCAGGAATGTCCCATAATATGGTATAATAGTTACACAGTGCACCTTTAAAAACATTTAAGGCATGCTTTTAGTGGTAATGTCCAGGTGTGGTGAAAAAAAAGGATTAAACAAAGTCAAGTGATTATGAAAATGTGTTTTTTATTCAACAGCATCACACATAAACATATGTACATATTTACAGTCTATACAATGAATATACATACAGTATCTTGTGTAACCTGTAGGACCACGAGTCTCTAGGTTGTGTCACTAATAGATTATGTCACAGTGCAATAAGAAGTCTGTGCACCCGTGTCAGTTCAATACACCACAGAGATGCATGTCTAACTATAAAGTACATCTAATGAGACTACTTCAACTACAAATATATTTTCACAAGTAGGTTCCTGTCTGACACCAAATGTAGACAAAAGCGAAGTGTTACGTATCTCATAGAAGCCATTTATGTGAGAAATTAAATAAGCGTTTCTCAGATGTGCTAGACTTGACAGTACCAAAACAAAACTGAAGCCTGTGAAGCCGAACGTCACTGAAACGCAACTTCCCCGAGATCATAGCACATCATTGTCATGGCGCTCTTGACTACGCCCCGAAGAATTAACAGCAATAAAAAGTATTATAAAGTCTATTGTAAAAGTCCCATTTGGAGGTGAAACGGTCACAACAGATTCTTCCAGCCGAGGTCAGACCACAGCTCAAGTGTTGACTCACAAGAAACATCAAATAGGACCAGATTCAGAGTTTATACAACACAGTGATACAGGCCCCACACTCAGCGCTGTTCACACAACCCAGCACAACAGAAAAGAACAGAGCTGCTCCAATCTGCTTCATGTGGACATTAACTATCTACTGACACAATGACTCACTGTAGGATATTAGTTCCATTTAGCAGGGAATTTGGTTTACATTTGCCAAATACAGACTTAAATAGACAAAAGTTATATTTAGAGTTGTTTCTAAATGCATTTACACACATGAAACATTGACATGACATTGAGGCCTGTCATCCTGCTGTGATTGCTGCGTGTGGCAGTTTCTCTATCAGAGTCTTGCGCTCTGAGCCTCTGTGTGAGTGTGAGGTTGTAATGCCCTGCTCTGGCTCTGGTCAAACTGCCACACTCAGAGTAACACATCAGTCTGTGCGAACAGTTCCTCTGTCACAGACACACTGTGAGTCAGACTGTGGAGCCTGCAGCTCAGCAACCCACTGTCACCAGTCTGCTCCTGTCATCTGCTCCTGTCTGCCCCTGTCATCTGCTCCTGTCTGCTTCTGTCTGCCCCTGTCATCTGCCCCTTGGTGTGTCCCTGGTCAAGATCTAAAGTCATTGAGACACTTTTAGCACCAAAATATATTATAAAAATATACAATTAGAAACACAATGAAAATCATTGTGAAAATGCCCTTAGAAAGTAACATAAAGACAAATACAGTACAGTGGATATTTCCGAAACGCTTGAGGTTGTATTTACAGACACCAGTCACAGACAGGGATCTGAAAAGTGCCAATGTAAAAAAACAACAATAGATCCCTGTGAATGAGTCTTTTGGTCCCTCAGTCTGATATGAGTTCATCAACAGAACAGATCCTCATCTCTCTCCACATTAAACGATGGCACTGTCTGCTCCGCTGAAATCACTTCCTGTTCCGTCTGCAGTACTTCCTGTAGTGATGGTGGCTGGTGGAACCATGGGTGGGCGAGCAGCTCTGTTGCAGTCAGTCTCTCAGATGGCTCTCTCCTCAGCAGACTCTGCAGGAGACACTTAGCTTTGGGGGACAGGCCCTCGGGCACACAGCACTGGCCCCGGCGGATTTTACAGAAGAGTGTGGCAGGGTCTGGGTCATGGAAGGGGTAGCGGCCCACCAACATGGTGTACAGCATCACCCCCAGGCTCCACATGTCCGCCATTTTACCAGAGTACGGAGCAGAGCCGCTCAGAATCTCTGGACTGACATAAGCTGGGCAGCCATGTGTGTCTGACATGGAGTCATTCCTTGGATTTTCCAAAACACGGCAGTCCTCGAGGCTTTCAAGTCTCACCTGAGTCCTGTAAAAACAACAGCATTCAATTTAATTTGTGTTGTGTTAAAATTTAAGACACTTATCAAAGTACTCATAAAGAAATGTGTGGCAAACAACACACTGTTGGTACAGTTCAAGTAATGATGACATAATGTGAAACATGTCCGTGCAATTTGAATGTCATCATGGAAAAACAAACTTCCTCTGTTTAGCCCTGAGCCACACGTTGTTCAGTGGACTAAATCACTCTCACCAAACTCCAGTGAACTCCAAGTAGCCCAGAGTTTGAGACACAGAGCTGCATAAGCAAGTTTCCAGTATAAACACACATACAGTACAAACACAGGACCCCCCACAGCCCCTCCTCTCCCCTTCTCTCTGCTCACACACACCACTATATTTAGACATGTTAATCACCAGGAGCGCATTTAGATCTATGAGAATGTGGAGGACGGCACACAACTTTATCTTTTCTGCATTTGGACTATGGGAAATTTAGCTGGAAATACAGCTATTGCATAAGAGGATATTTTCTACACACTGGCTCAATGTATCAGACAAATAAACTGCCATAAAATGGTTGATCTTGTACAAAATAAGCAGCAGGCTGAATCATTAATCTATTTTGAGACATCATGCAGTTGTTAGACATAAATGACACCAGAGTTGTTATAACAGAAGAAGCATAATATTTGAACACACAGATAGTGGCGCTGATAAGTGCGATAGCGACCGAAATGGAAGAAGAGAAATCAAGTTGGAGGGTGGAGAGAGTGACTCATCCTGGTGTTGAGAGTACATATCTTCTCTCACTCCTCTCCAGCCCGGGCTATCTGCACCTGGGCTCCACACTCGCGGCGCCAGCCATCCCATAATTACCCTCAAATGGCTGTTGCCACATCGGTGACGCACGGGAAGGCTGGCCCGGCAGCAGTGAAGCAGCATGCCTCACACAGCTAGTCACCTTCCCTAAACTGGCTCTCCAAGTGCTGCCAATGGGGACTCATCTCTGTCAATGTGATGTGTCTTTATCGCATGATCTGACCAGAGATGTGTTGCCCTGACACAGACATTGCATCACATTATAATTGAAGGTATGAAAAGAAAAGATACTATGACAGAATATGAGGTCAGAAACAACAACACAAAATGCCTTATGAGTCCATTTTAGAGAAGGAATTGACACAACTTTAAACTCTATAATCCAAGTTATTATTATTATTATTATTATTATTATTATTATTATTATTATTATTATTATTATTATTATTATTATTAAGCCTAAGTGAGAGAGTTACATGACATCATCAATATAGGAGGACAACCTCTTTCAAGTTAGAATAAGATTTTGAGGTAATGCCAAAAAAACCTACGCATGGAAAAACCTCATCATGACTGTGAATGTGCAATGCGGACGTAGAAGCGCTCATATATGGACAGGCACAAGCTTGCATTACACATACACTGTGACTCATTGCTGTTGATGTGGGATAGCTATCACTGAGGACACAAGCAACTTCAACTTTTCTCACTGGCTGTCTGCCTCCATTCATCCAGCAGCGTGACCCTGCTCATCCAGAGGTCACGGCTGGGGAATGTTACAGCCGAGGGGAAAAAATGCATTAGGAAAAGGGACGCGGGGGGGGGGGGGGGTGTCTTACAGGAAGAGAGTGTGACGCAAGGGCAAAGAGACGACAAATAGTTTAGCAAGCGCCGTTTTGTGAGTCCTCGCCACCACACAGCTCTCTTGTGTCTATGTGGGAGGAACTTCAAAGTGCATATGAATAGACTCCTGTTACTAACTATTGTAATGCATATTTATGATGTCACATATGAATAAGTAATAATGACTAATGCAGACATTCAGAAGTTATAGACAACAGAAGGGGCTGATTGTCTCATTCAGCAGCCTCGTCTCGCAGCTCTGCCAACAGAACACCCACTGCACGCTCGCAAAAACCCAAGCCACAGACAGTGAGAAATACAGACAGACAGACAGACACAAAGACAGACAGAGAGGCACAGAGCTCCATGAGAGCCTCCTACATCCAAACCTGCACTACATGTCCCACAGTATCAGCTGTTGCTTTTGCATTCACTGACTCTGAAAGAATATTACAAATGTGGTGCCACTGTATCTGCTCACACTTGATCCCCATTTATACAAGATACTAAATGAACAGCTTCTTCTCATCATTTAAATACAGAAAGCAATACCAAATACCACTAACCAAAACCATATCTAATCTTGATCAGTCACAAAATATGGTTCAAACAGGTCCCAGAGTTAGTCTTTGAGTATTTTGCTTGATTGCATAACACTGCATCATAGAAGATATTGGAAGACATGCATGTTGTTAATAAATGGTACTGCATGTGTCTGCTTAATTCTAAAAAGTGAAGGAAATCTTTGTCCCTCACCTTTTCTCATCTGCAAAGACAAACTTGCGGAGCTTGAGGTCCCCCAGAACTATGCCGTTCTGATGACAGTGAGCCACAGCTAGCGCCACCTGCTGGAAGAGTCTGCAGGCTTGCTCTTCGTCCAGCCTGCGGCAGCTCTTCACCAGAGTGTGCATGTCCCCAAAGTCTCTGTCCAGGAACACATAGGCTTTCCTCTCGCCCAGGACAATGTCCCTGATACCAGCCACATTTCTGTGAGGTGGCAGGATCCCGTAGGCACGGATCTTCTCCTGGTACACCACCATGTCATACACCTGAGGAGAGAAAGACTGTGTCAGTGATGTCAGAAAACAAAATGTTTTTGATGATGGATCAATACAGGGTTTGGCAAGAGTGCATCAATGGATTTCTAGAGTGTCAGAGAGCATTGCACTGGACCAGTGTAGCCAACTGTACATTTCATTATGTACTACTGAACGGTATGTTTCATCCACTTCCAAGGATGAAATAAGCAGTTATTGCTAAGTTATTTTAGCATGAACATTTACTATTTACCAATATGTATTTTCATCCTATATATGCTGTTTTAAATTTACAGTTATACCACTGACGTCACATAGGACACCTTGAGGACCTTACATGGACCGCGCAGTGCCCGGATCACTGCATAAGTGATGCACTTACTGTGCCTTTAAGGGACCATGACGTATTGCACTTTAGTGTATACAAATAAAGTTGATTGTCCCATAAGCCCACTTGATTTGTTAATAGCAGTGCGATGTGGTTACTGATAAAAATAACCCAATAGTGAAGTAACACTGCTGCGTAGAGTGTGACACATTTGGTGAAGAAAATGCCTCGCAGTGATGATACACGGCAGACGGGCTGTTGAGCAACAGCGCTGTCTCGAAACACCACTCATTCAGAGAAATTGCACAATGACGATGGATTGCGCATACCTTGCACAGCAGCTCCTCTCCCGTGTCCGTGTTTATGGCGTTGTGGGTGCTCTCCCGCTCCGATAGAGGTAGAAGCAAAAAAGGTCCTATCCTGGACGGTCCCTGGTGCGGGTTGGGGGTCCTGGGGCTCGGGGTTGTTGGTGAGGTGGGGGAAGATCCATAAATAAGACTATGCGCGTCCCCGGCTTCAGTGCTCAGTCTGGGGGATTTGGCTGGAGGCTGATCGTCCGAGTCCAGCCGTTTGTGGGCTGCGGGTCTCCCATAACGGAGGCACGTCACCGGACTGCTGCTCCACTGCAAGTTCATCCTGATGGAGCGGTGTGCCATGACAACACGTCGTGCGTAAAGACTTAGAAACACTTCACAGCTGGGGACTCCATTCCTTTATCTTGTTAAATTCCACAAGGTACCCGCCACTCAGAAGTGACTTAGTAGTTACGGAGAGCTGACAGAGAGGAGAGAGAAGCAGAGACAGAAAGAGAGAGAGAGCCCCACACTCCCGGAGCGCCAGAGAGTGAGTGACTGATGTTTCAGCTTTCTCTCCGCCCTAAGCAGCCCAGTCCACTCCTCCTCCCGGTGACACAAGCGTTGAGCAATCCTCAAACAGCTCTGACTCCACTCCGCTGCTGTGCTCTGATGAAACTATTACCTCTCTGCCGCGCGCTTATTTGTGTGTCTTGTTTGTGGCGATGTTGTAACCGATCCGGCGTTTCGTGCAATGAATGGGAGATTTTGTGCTGATAGTGAAGCGGAATGAAGAAATCAGCGCGCGGCTTATCACGAGCGTCTCATCAAAAGCACGCGTTAGAAAATCATTAACTGGACTGATTCAATGTCTCCCTCTCATTACCAACAGTTACACCATGGACCTCCCGTTAAATGGCACATCTCAGGGATAGGTTGTTCCTTCCCGCTGCTCAGGGACTCTTTGAGGGTTTCAAATCTCGAAAAACAAGATCAATTTATAGCCTTTTAACAGTGTAATAATGCACAGATTTTTCTCCATAGCATATACAAACCAGTGCACAGTCTGAACATCAGCTTGAAGGGCCCATATTATTTTCTATTATGTTGTATGTTGTTTTCTAACCAATGTTATAATGTTGTTTCCTAAGAGTTGTATTTTGTTTCAGATCTTCTCTCAAACTGAAAGCGCGCTGTTCCAGCTAATATCATGTGGTAGTGCAGGCAGTGCTCCACTGGGTTTTTAAACGTGTCCAAATCATGTGGGTAATTTCAGCCCTGGAACTGGAGTCACTTCTGAACTGAAGGCAAAAGGTAGCTGTTAACTACTACTACATGACAACACAAAATGGGACTGAGTATTTTGAGCTTTGTAGATGTAGATGGCATAATAATGCAAAACAAAACACAACTCCAGGTGTGTTTTTTGATGAGGAAACAGACAACATTAGAACATGGCTTATAGCTCACCATTTTGAGTATATAGGGCCTTTAATTAAAACACTAAATAGTAATTGTAACTACATGATATGGAAATTCATTGTAGACCAGACTTCATCATTGCAACTTGGGAGATTTTTATGTACAGAAAAAAATTCTCTTCAAGTCATTCTGCTCAGGAAAAGGGTACCAAGACGGTTTCTGACAGGTTGCATAATGGATCAAATGCAGAAAACAGTTTTCATACATGAACAATACAATTTCTGATGTGGTATGAGTTGCATGAGATGTGAGTTTAGTGGCAGTTTTTCCCAAGCTCATATTTACTGAGGGGATGTTCAGGTCCAGGTGTGTGACCATATCTGACACAGAGCTGTATTTTTCCTCCTCTTGGCCTGGCTCGTTCTATGACTCACCCTCATATAAAGCCCTAGTGGAGCCATAAGCAGCATTCACATAAAATATGCCACAGCAGCGGCCCCAGTAAACAACATCACACAGTGAAGTGCAGTGCCTTGTGGAGTGGCAACAAACAGGGCCAGCAACACTGTGCAATCACTGGGAAAACTGTGCAACATGAGTACAATGATCGGACTTATGTGCAGAAATATACAGCGTGAAGGCTGTGAGGAAGAATTCAATTGTAAAAACTGCAGCATTGCATCCCATAGTGCAGAGCTGTAAGAAGTGGCAAATTTATATGATAAAAAAATGTATTGGCAAGTGATGCAAGAACTATGTGTACATTGAACTACTAACCCCCATGAATGACCTGTTTAACTTCCTACACCACAGTTTGCTTCCTTTGCCACAGTGTTATCTTTTTGTTATGAAGAACATATTTGCTAACCTGGCCAGCAAGACGCATTCTCGTGATATTTCACAAACTCTTGAGAACCCATCTGGCCAGACTCCCGTAGCTGAAATTGTGCCCAGGCCACCAGTGGTTCAGACCAATCACAGGGCAGCACTGCGGTTTGGGCAGAAGCCAGACATGCAGAGGGAAGCGCTTTGAGCATTTGTGGGCTGGGGGAGATGTATGTGCTTTTCTCTCAACTGGACTTAACTAAAGTTTGATACCTCGCCTTGCTCCAGTGTTGTGACACTTTGGCCAATCACCTTCAAATATTCGTCATGATGTTCTGCAGTTTCCCGCTCGCTTTTAGAGAGAGCTGTTCCAGATCGATAAATGTGTACAACTCAGAGTGCTGCATATAAAAAACCATTAGTCTGGTTCTAGTGTTCTTTAAAATAAAATAAAAACTTCAGTTTTGAAGCACCTGATGTGGTTCATAACTTCAAGGCCCAAACTTCTGAACCAAGTTTAATGGCTTGAGGAGACATATTTCTCAATGATTAGCTTAAATGGATGGACATTTGACACCAATCAAAACCACATCCTGAGAGACCAGAGCTAAAGGTCACCCTGCAGGTTCCGTTGGGAAAAGGTGGCAGTTATTTTTAGGCTTTTTCTTCTTTGTGAGTGTCCCACGACAAAGTGAGTCACATCGGATTGATGTGTGAGTGTCTCTATGAGCAGTGCTCTTGTCATGTGGTGGAGCAGGCCTTCAAACTGGTTTCCTGTGTCACTGCCGCCTCTAAAGGTTCTGTTACAAACAAGAGGAATTGTGGGAAAACACAGACAGAAGCACAACATGTTTTTAGATTAGTATTTGGTTATATAATTGACATGTGTGACATTGTAATGTTCATATAAGCAGTTTTAGGTGTTATGTTTGATAAATAGGATGATTGGTAAGACTTGCTTAATCTGCATTTCAAAAGATTGCATTGTGACTGGGTGGGTTGCAAAATGTTTCAAATTTATCTGTGAGTCAGCATTTGAACTGCACTGTTAACAAATCAGCTTTCCAAAACTAAATAACCATCTCATCATCAAGAGTGAATGCAGGATTAGAGCACACGATCCACAGTAGAGGGAAAGAGACCACAAGGCCATTGTGCAATCACAATGTAAGTCAGAGTGCTCAGATACACTTTTACTTTTACACAGTGGTCAGACAGAGTTGGTTTATTTTACTGATGTCTGATCATTAACACGTGACTTCAAGACACAGTTCAAACACATGAATAAAAATATTTTAAAATATGGCAATGTGATTTTTAACATTCTTATATATCATTTCACATTTGGTTTCAGTGCATTCTCTGTACATGATAGTACACCTTCTTTTCTGGGAGTGGGTCATTTCCCCATGGGGATAGTATATTGCTCTGTAGAATGGAATTATCTTTCTTGTATTTATTCAGTTACAGGTAGTGTAAGTACTACAATTTCCTTGCATTTTTATGCTGTTAAGATGTTACCTACTAATGGATTAACTTTAAAACAATTTAACACTTTCTGTCCTGGCCATGAGAGCTATTAGCAGTTTATTTATTTTCTTAAACTATTATTGATGTCATAGTTTAGTGTATATTTAACTCTCAAAAACCAAAGCTACCTATTAAGTATATCTTAATGTTGCAAGAGAAGGTGTTGTGAAAAATAAAGATTACTATTTAACCCGGATTTTTGGTGAATCATTTTTACAGTACAAAGGTTTCTTAATCACGCTGTGAGTGTGCAAACAGTTTCCAATGTTTAAAACTGATTGTAAATTACAAGTGAACTGTTGAGGAAGTTAATTTTGAACTATAAAAAATAAAAAGCATAAAAAACATGCAATCTTCTGCCACTGGTTGTTAAAGGGCCCATATCAGGCTGTTTTCTGATCTCTTTTATAATGTTGTTTCCTCATCACAGACATACCTGGAGTTGCTTTTTGTTTAATTCACACATGTTTAACACACAAACCCTGCACATTTAGGCTGTTGTTTTCTCAAACAGAAAGCACTTTGTTCCACCTTGTGATGTCATGTGGTAATACAGGAAATGATCCACTGTATTTTTAAACTCTGTACACCTTTGCTTTAATCATTTGGATAATTTCACCCGTACAATTGCCAATTGAGTTAAGTGTAAAAGGTAGCTGTTAACTTGAAAACTACAGAGCTTTTTGAGCTTTGGGGATGTAGAGAGAGACTAATAATAAATAGTTACTCAAATATGTGTGAATGAAAACACAACTCCAGGTATGTTTTTGATGCGGAAGATATGGACAATTTACCAAAAGGTCACAGTTGACCCAAAACAAACAAAGCTTATATGGCTACAGAACTTTTCTACAAGCGCACAGCAGTTCATAAAGACGTGGGGCTTCAAATGCTTATCCAGTAGTAATAAATATACTTATATTTTTACAACCTTGACTTCACGAAGAATCACTCAAGTTCAGAATAGTTTCATGTGGACAGACTCCAGACTGACAATGGTCTGCCCAAACATCCACGTCCTCCTCCCTCCTCCTATCTGCTCATCTCTTCCTTTGATGTTTTAGGTCAAGGCGGGGTTAAAACTATACTCCGCTTTATTCCTGGCAACATGAGAGATTTATGGGAATCAAAATGTTAGCTTTATATGCTCCTAAAAAAAGAGATAGAATCTTTTTTTCAATACTGATATTCATTTAACATTGGAAACACACCTACACATTGTTCCCTGTTATTCTCCTAGTGGGGAGTTGCCATGTTTGTTCATACTCTGCACAAAGAAGACTTCCCCAAACAATTTCTCTGAAACTTTAAAGCAGTGCCAAAACCTACAATGAACTGTATTAATCTGACAGTGTATTTCAGTGAGACATGTTGAGAGCAAACTTGTAGTGAACCTCCATCTTGGAAATCTTAGAAAAGATATGTTGCAATAGATGTTATGATGACTCAAACACTTCGGTATTCCTCCAAATGACAAATGATGATTGATTGTGGTGAGGAGATTTTAATAAAAGTATTTACAAGAAAAGTCTGGTGTAAAGTTATATTTAAATTGCATAAAAAAGTATAAATATTTGCTACTGACTTGAGTTTAAGATTTTACGACAATAGTGGAATGCTGTCTTCCAGTGGTGGAAAAAACAGAACTCAAAGGGTGGATTATTTGAGAGTTGCACGCTGAAATTAAGCCACAGAATATTTAAGAATTTCCATGGGAATTATAAGTAAAAAGAAAAAAACAAACATGTAATTTTGAACCTACAGCAGTAAAATCTACTATCAATTTACAACAGAATATTGTGTACAAAAGGATTTTCTGGGGGTCATTTGGGGTTTTGTTTGTGTTGCAATATAACGTAATCTTAGTTTGTA